ATTCACTTTTTTCTCCCTACTCTAACTATAATCCTTTCTGACCACAACCGTGCCTACGCGTACATGTGACATCGTTTGAATAGCTCGTCATTTAGAAAAAAAAAATTCTCAAGCCAATCATTCCCACACATTTTTACACAAGAATTTATTTTGACTTTTTTAATCTCCAGATCTGCATATGTGATTTATTTGAAAGAATTTCAGACTTCTGTTTATAGAAAGCTCACCACAGCGATTTGCATTTCTTTCTTGTCAAAAATTCCGATCGCTTTATCGCCGCCGAATATCATATAAATGGCATGAATAAACTCTATGGCACGTATAAGAGCCGAGTATTGATGAAGTCAGTACATACGTACAAACTTAAAATTTAAATGATCTTTGTTGCCTACTATTGTGCGTTTTAATATTTTAATGAAATCAATCTATTCCTATAATAGTAAATGATGGGTGTGAGAAATAGTCCGAGAGTGCGAATTATTTTTCATTCAACCTTAAAATGCATAATAATAAGAGCAGCAATAAAACGCAAATCTATGCCTAATGTACGTTCATCTATCCTAAGCAGTCACTTACCCCTTTCTATATATATTGTTACTATTATATTTGTGGGTCATTGAACGCTAGTTAACTCATACAATAAAGCGCGAACTATATCAAAATGCATTTCGTTTATTAGTTATACAATTGAAGACAGAAACATTCTAGAAATGCATTTTATGTTGTGCGCCTAGACAAAATACATATACCTACTACATGATGCGAAGCGATGCAATGCAATCCGACTCATAAGTAACCTGTAAACGTTCTCTCAGAAAATTAAGAAAGAGATAGAGAAATAGAGAGAGATAGTAAGAGAGGAAGAAGAGAACACGAGAGTACCATAAAAATAAAACTCAATGGTATTGTGTTTAATGCTTATGTACATAAAAGTGTGCGTTTGTCAGTATGTAAACGATAATGTTTGATACGTTTAAACGAGCTCTATATTTCGAGGTTGCTGACCGATATGTAGGTCACGACAATGGCGAGTTCGATGAACTGACAATCAGCTCGCGCACATTGACTATATACAAACATACAATAGTTTATTTGTATCTGAATGCATTTGTATGCATTAATGTATGTGTAAATGCGTGCGTTTGTGCTGGTATATGTATGTATGCATGGATGGATGGATGGATGGATGGATGGATGTATGGATGTGTGTGTGTTTGTGTGTGTGTGTTTGTGTGTGTGCGTTTGCTATATATTTTTGTGGTATGCTGTTATTGCCGATCTTATACATGGATGGTTGGTGGGGTCTTTTTCATCGCCATAGTTCTCTATTATCCATCGACACTCCCCGTAAATTGCCGCAGTTATTTATCCTTAGGATTTGGGTACAATATTTTTATTGGCTTTTATTCATATGCATTTCATCTTTGCGTTTATGGGTGTGTGTGCAGCGTGTGTGCATCTGTATGTGAATGTGAACGAATATGAATTTCGATGAAGTGCAAAGTGCTCCAATTTGTTTAATTATACAGTGATGTTGTTTAAAGTATAACGATGATACAGCAAAGTGCTCACGATAAAAGAGTTAATTAATTATTTCAATCATTGATTTATTTTAATAGCAAATTATTGTCTTTCGATTTCATTTTTCGGACTGATAACAAGCGTTAATTTTACTTAGCAAGCACAGATTTGAATTTAATTCTTTTGTTATGCATTTTCTTGAACTGTGTATGTGTATTTCTTGGCAAAATGTGAATGTCCTCTGTTACCCCATAAAATAATTTTAATGTAGCGCGAGGTTGACGACTGCAAATAACCAACATAAAGTGCTCCTTGCCTCCTTCCACTTGCTCTGATCTATCAACGACTTGCCTTCTCTTGCCACTCATTCTTTTATTCTATGTTACACACACACACACACACACACATGCACACACATGCACACACCATTTAATGCATAATAAAACAAAATGCATATGCAAATTAACAACTAACACAGAAACAACAACATCGAGAGCAACAGAAATAGTAGTAGCAACAGCAATAATAGCAACAGCGACAGCAACAGTAATATTAGCAATGCAATGAACCTACGCTTAATCGCACACATTTACATTCATACACGTACAAGTCCGCATGCATGCATTCATGGCATGCACACATACACACATGCATACATACGCACATGCAACATTTGAAGCAAATTCATTATAAAAACAAACTAAAAGAGCGAACTCACGTGTTAAATTTGCACTCGCCACTTTTCCACAGAAAAGCGAGTAGTGAGTGCTGAAGCAGAGCATTAAGTAATGAGTGAATGGATATGTATTTTGAGTACTTTAACAAATAAACAATTCAAGTCTAAGATGCGAGTACAATCCAACAACAAAATACGTAAGCTATGTTAACAGACAAAAAGAGAACAGACATTTCTTTCTCAGAGTAAAATTTATTCTTTTAACCAATTTACTTTGCTGTAGATTTTCCATGAATACCCCCTAGACCCCGGAGTGGCTTTTTGAGTTTGCGAGAAAAAATTTTCCTTGTTCTCTAGGTCCCTGAGTGGCTTTTTGAATTTGCTGAGAACTGAAAAAAAGTTTAAAAGTTTAAAGTTTGAAAGTCTAACTAACTGAGTCTAATTTTAAATTGTCAGTCAAACTAAACGGACGTGTTTGCGTGTGAAATAGCATCTAAGAAAGTTTATTATATACAAATAAACAAAAAAAAAAAAAAAGAATATCACACAAATCAGACTTTAAAACTTTTATAACAAAGCGTCACCGTTCAGTGTTGATGCGAAGAATAAAAAAAATTTTTTGAAAGAAAAGGCGGGTCTTTAAAAAGTCAGAAACCTGCTTGGCGGTTATTTTTAATTCATTTCGCAAAAAGAAGCTTTTTGGCGGGTTTTAAAATGAGAATTGTAAAGAAAAATTATGTTCCTTTATAAAAAATTTTAGCAAACCACTTATTCAAGTGTCAATTCGTTTGTGGATACTGAAAAAAAAGAAAGGAAAAATTTTTTTATCTGAAAAAAAAAAGTTTTTTTTAAAATTAGGAATAATTTCCACACGAAATGGTTTGTGCGATGCAAGAGTTAAATACGGCTGCTGTGGCGGTTAGTGATACTCAGCACCATCATCACCACCATCA